AGAATTATTTTTAGGAAAAAAAATTGCATATTCAGAAACTACATTAAAAAGTTTACAAAGTCGCAAAAACCAGAATCAAATTTGATAAATAAGGTAAGAGATTAAGAGTGATTTGTATTGACCAAGTGAATAGGAAATGGGACAATAACAGAGGACAGAGAGAGAGTACTATATATATCCATAACATTATATATTAGGTTTCATAAAATTCAAGTTTGCATAATATCTAGGCTAAAAATAAAGATGTCATCCATGTTCCATTATTCACGTTTTGCAATTGAACACCTTTTTGCTAATTGTTGATTCAAGTTGTTCAAACTTTTAATAAGATGTGTATTTAATTGTTGTTAATTGCGATCCACATATATCCACGAATATGTGCACATCTATCCGCAAAATAAATGTCATTTAGCGCGTTTTAATATATTAATACTAAAGTTCTAAAACAGCTAAGTTATATGTATATTATTACACTTCGTTCACAACTAAGTGCCATTTAGAATATATTGTTTGTAATAAACCTTTCCAGCTAGAAGAACATAGTTTTTAAAGTAGTGTATATCCGTGAGACATATTAATTAACTCCGAAAGTGACCTCAAAAAAATCCTAAATATGCTGAAATTGTCTAACATAACTAAATTTGATGAATTATGAAACACCGGTTGGCGTAGCTCAACTATTAGTGAGGGAGTGCCACAAGAGTTAGGTCCCGGGTTTGAATCCCGACAACTCTGATGAGAGGTTACTATGCTAAAATATGCATAGAGCATATGTCGGTGTTGGGGACCCTCAGGGATGGGGTGTCATCCTTTTTTTTTATCAATTATGAAATACTCCCTCCTTTCTCTAGGCTCTATAGCCTTTGGCACAAGTTTTAAGAAGAAATTAATAGGGGTAAAATAAAAGATGCCGTGAGTTGTGTTTAAATGAAAAAGTAAGAAAGAGAATGAAAAATAGGAAAAAGAATGAGTTCATATATAAGTATATTTATTGAAAAACCTTCTAAAAATAGAAAGGGAGACGTGTATTGGAGAACATCCCAAAATGTAAAGGGAGACAAGTATTGATTGAAGAATAGAGGGAGTATGTTTTTTTTTAAATGTAACTATGAAAGAAGTTAGATTTAAATACATTTTATTAGTAAAACAAAGAAAAACTTAAATGAAAAAACGTAACATTTTTCTTTTCAATAAGCGCAGCCACTAATTAATTTTGGGCTCACATATTTTGATGATTACTATTACTCCACTCAGGTGTGAAATAAAAAAATTAGTTTGGAGAAAAATGATAGATAAGAGTGAGAAGTCAAAAGTTACCAAATATGCTCTAATGTATTTTGAATTCTAGTAACTTGATTTTGAGCTGAAATTAGCACTACTTTTTAATCAGAAAAAATAATCTCTTATTACTATTCCAAAAACGAGATATTCAATTATGAAAATAAAATGTATTGCATAAAAAGATTAACAGGAATCCCAAGGAACTAGCTATGCCTATATATAGCATTATCCATTGTCAAAATAGAACTTTGAATCGGTTCTCTAATTTGTAACCATAAAGAACTATAAAAAATATTACACGGTTGAAACTAGAAAACTATAAATAGTCAGAAAAAGCTCAAACTTTTGGATAAGGGCTAAGAAACTCCTAAATACATCTTCTCTAAAATAACTTAAATAAGTGTGTAGACAATTCTCAAAGGATAAAGGGGACCCTTGGTATGGGATACATTTTTTATATATATTTTTAGATAATTTGTTTATAATCACTTCTGCGTGTGCCACGTTAGCATAACACACATCCTTACACTATTAAATTCAGTTCATTGTCTTGATGCTCTAAACTATCCCATCTTTATAGCTTACCAAGTTGAAATGATTAGTTTAAGAATCATGTTTGATTTTGCAAGGGAATAAGGACAAAAGTGTATGAGCCTAAAAGCATAGTAAAGTGAATCTTTAGGAGACTCATGCATGAAAATAACAAAATCGCCTCAGATATGGTTTAGAAGTTTGTAAAATGATCATATTACTCTTATAACTACCCTCATGAGCTTTAAATTTGTGCAATTCTTCTATAGGTGCACATAGGGTAGAGTAATTGTACACATATTATAGAATTAATTTCATTTCGAGTCTTACTAATACAAGATTTCACTTTTTGTCATTAATTTAACTAGTGCATTTAACTTGCCCGCTTTTGGTTTAATGTTGTTTATCAGAGTAATTGTGTAGTCAGACGTCGTTTGGCAACACTGTTTTTCGGCTTATCAGGATTATCAATTAATTTTTTCACCAAAAACGTAACTTTTGCTTTCGCGGCTGAATTGTGTAATAAGCAGGAAAAGTAAGGTTGGAGTTACTTTTTTGGCTGTATTGGCTGAAGTTACTGTAGATGACAATTTTAGCTATTTTTACATATAATTTTTTCTTTATTTTATTAATAAAATATATTATAAAAATATTTTTTTCTTAAATCAGCAGAATCAGCCAATGCAACTACTTCAGTCAGAACTTAATAAATTTCAGCAGAATCAGCCAAACCAGTCGATTTTCGAGCTACCAAACGGGCTCATAATATTTGTCATGAAGAATAACTGATGTTCTACGGAGCTATACTTTGTGTGAAGGGAAAATGTCCACAAAAATAACCTTTTAATTTGGAGGAGTCCTATGGGCTAAAAAGGACGTAGAAGTGCACTCTTATTTAAAGAATTTCACAACTTATTACTCTTATTAGTTTTTTTTTACTCTTACTCCGTATTAGTCTTATTTAACACAATCTCCCAGAAATACTCCTGAGTAGTCCATTCACCCTCAAATTTTCATGTTATTTCAATTTGACGCCCTTTTAAGGAAATGTGGTTGAAAGTAATGAGTAATGTAGTAATATGTAAGTATCTCGTTAATACTTGAGTTCAAATGAGTAAAACAATACCACCCATGAATTTCATTTTATCAAAGAAAGTCACAAAATTGTTTTGGAGCGAAGTAAAAAAGAAATGGGAATACTCCCTCCGTCCCATAAAATTCTTCTCACTTTCCTTTTTGGACCGTCCCAAAAAAATCTTCCCACTTACCATTTTTCGACAATTTGTGTGGTTCACATTCATTTCACCTTTTTCTTACACAACTACAATCACACATTTTCACTTTATTCCATTTTCCTAATCTACGTGTCAAATCAAAGTGGGAAGAATTTTCTGGGACGGAGGTAGTATTATTTTGGGAGCTATGGGCGGTATAAAGTGTAAGATAAGAGTTTATCTTACAAAGATATGAAAATGACACAAAGATATGAAAATTGACATGGTAAAATATTTCAATTAGTACATTCCCCCTCTCCCTGCCCTACAGTTAGAAGTAGAGCCTGATTTGCTTGACTTCCACGCGAGGACATATCACTTGAAATGACACTAAAGAGTGTTTTACACTCATGATAAGATATTGCTGAGTACTACTTTGTCTTTCCATGAAATGTAGTCTTTTTTTGCCAACAAAAAGAATGCATAGTCAACTAGGAAAGTGACTGAGCCTCTCTAAGTTGAGGATGGGGTTTAGCCACTTCAGCCATTATGCACCATGTAAAAAGATTGAGTAACATGTTAGAGGAAATTGTGTGTTACATTGTTGTTCCTTTTCCCCTAATCATGCCCCTAATCACTCACAGTTAGGACAAAGGAACACTATTCTTTTGAGAATAAACAAACTACTTGTTTATAATTAGTGCTCATGTCTAAAAGAATATGCACTATAGGCTAATCAAAAGAATTATTTTATTGCTAAGCATTCATTAAGTTTCTAGTTTTAAAGCTCCTATTCGCGTTCATGTCATTGTCAATCTACGTGTTGGTCACTTACTTGAGCTAAATAAAGTAAAGTAAATAACATTACCTCCATCCCATTGGAGATTGTCACCTTTGAATTGGGTGTTCAATAAGAGAGGTGAAAACTGTGTGTTTGAAGTTTGTGCAAGTTGTTGAGACAAACAAAAAGGGATGTTAGCGAACTCCAAATCTCCAATAAGATGGAGGGAGTAGAAAGCAATTTTGCAGATTATAAAACTAGTTAGACAATCTATTACTATTTCTGCAACACCAAACAGAAGGCCTTCTGCAGGATATATAACTAGTTACACAATCTATTCATATTTCTGCAACACCAAACAGAAGGCCTTCTGCAGGATATATAACTAGTTAGACAATCTATTCATATCCACAAGCACCTCCTCAGCTTATATAAAGTTAGTTGTATGCCGGTATTAGTTATACTATTCTAAGTATCTAACAGTTTTATGTGTGTGAGTCTAACCATATCTGTGGTTCCATCATATAATGGTAACCTGATATGTGAAGCATCTTAAGACCAAGATAGTCGCTTTTTGAGAAAACCGATATGAAGTTCATGCACTCTTGACTTTTTGAGCATAGTCGAATCGAGTTACTTGTAAAAACTTAATGGCTAATAGATACCAATTAAGACTTGCACTTCTATTCTAATAGATGAGGGGATAAGAGAATTAATTCAAGACCGAATATATGCCTTTATGACCTAATATTTGGCAGGCGTGACTGCGTGAGGATGACATGACTTAAGATATACTACTAAGTGATCCTGGCATACATGGTTGAGTCCACCCTTGAAAGACACTTGAAGGAAAACCAACTAACAAAAGGTTCACACTTGGCTAAGTTGTCTTAAAAGATGTTCTATGAAACACTTGAAAACAACACACTGCAATGAAAATCAATCACTTAAAATCAATCACTTTAATGAGCAAAATGAAATGGATGTGAGAGAATAAACCTCTCACACTGTCTCAATTGTGGGCTACCCATTGTTGTCAATGAGGTCAAGATAAAGCCTTGACTTGTCAAGAGGCATTCTTCCACCAATCCATCTTTTCTCACTTCTGCAGGAACTCATAGTATATTGGAACAAAATCAACTAAATCTGATCTCTGACATCAAAACAACTCTGTACTATATTAATGTACTTACATAAGCCATTGATCAACCATTACAACCTGCAGCCACTCTTGAACATCTATGTAAAGTTAATTTCATAATAAACTAAGGTAATTGCAGCCATGTGCATAAACAGAAGCACTAAAATGAAGAAAAAGTTACTCGTTTGGGATGATGGAATCATGAAATGCAACACTTCCAAAGCTAAAGAGTTCAAATTATACACCAATATAATACATACAAAGATCCAAACTTTAGCCCAAAAGCATCAGGAAAAGGAAACCAAACAAGGAATTATCTACTTCTTTTTGCCTTTCCCGGATTTTTTCTTAGGAGGAAGCACAATTTCACCTTTCAACACCGGGATTTCCATAATACTCGACAAACCCGCAAACTTCTTACGGAACTTTTCAACTTGGCCGGCGTCGGAGAGGAGATGAGCCCGGCTTCCGAGATAAAAGGGGTGGTTCCCCGACCAAACATCCACCACGTAATCCTTCTTGGTCCCGCCGGTAGTCATCACCAGCTCGCCATTGCAGAAAACCTTCGCATCCTCGTAGAACTTCGGGTGTATGTCCTTCTTCCTGCAACTCACGCGCATCTGATCGCGCCCCTCCACCAGTCCAGTGGCAGCCTAGTAAAAAAAAATTAACAGTTTCAAGAATCAAGGTAAAATAAAATCAAGTCCATGTTAGGATATGGGTGTTCATGGAATTGCCTTATTAATGGAAGGTGGTGGAAGGGAGGGGCTTCCATGAAGGAAGGTATTGGAGAGGGTAAGCACCATTTTTGATTTCACAGTCTAAAGAGATGAGAAATTGCCCAAATAGTCGTCAGTCGTCACCATAAGCTTATCCTATGTGCAATTACATTAGTGCCTATGCAGTATGTACATTGGTGGGTCGTGCCCAGATTTAGCCCGCTAAGATGGGCTAAAAGTGATATCATATGGTCTGTGATTCTTTAGGCTAAAAGCCCAATAGCATATTTTTTGTTAATATTTTGCAGATTAACTGAATTACTGAAAAAAAATCTATTTTGTTGTCCGCACAAGAAATAGCGGATTCAGTCAGCGGGTTTGACTAGCGGAATAAATTAGCGGGTCGTCAGAAGATGTTTGGTAATTTAGCTGTTTGACCGTAAAATTATTAGAAAACGTCATTTTTCAAAACGTCAACCCAAAACTCTCCTATTATCAGCATTTTCATTTCAGCGTTTTCGTCCAAAAATGCTAGTGCTGAACCGCTATTAACCAAACAACTTTTTCACGTATTGAAAACGCTGAAAGTGGTCGAACCGTCATTTTTCGGCCGAAACGTCGTTTACCAAATACCCCATAGACTTTTCTTAGATGCTATTCACGGTAGCATCTCAAAAAGGGCTTTTATTTTTAAAAAGATTTTTTAAATTGTCATGTCAAACGTACAAATAGAAACTTTTAAAGACTTTTAAGTAGTACAAAAGGTAGAAGGTTGAGACTTATATATGTCTGCCAAACATGCACTTACAAAGATCAAAACAAACTTAAACAAATCATGTGAGACATAAACAATAATAAAATATACATAATACCAAACCTTACCAGACCACACTTGAACATATTGAACTAAACTACATAAAATAAAATTCAATCTACATGGAAACATTCATATATTACATGAGAAAAGTGTCAATTCAGTACACCAAGTTGCATCGGGTGGAGAAAAGAGTACATTATATTATAAGTCATATGAAAACATACATGTATTTAGGGTTTTAGTGTTAAACAATACATTCGTCACATTAAGGTGTCAATAACGATGAGTTGGCTAACGGAATATTGATTTGTCCAAATCAAATCCACATCATACGTTAACTTCTTCACTACTACACTTTGCAAACCCTAACTCTGCTCTTATGACAACGAGAAAGACTGCAGCGATGGAGTTCAAAGGCTAAATAGGCAAAGTAACAGCGTTTTGAAGGCAGTAATACCAAGATGGATAGTGATAAATCGGATGAAATGTATGATAACCCTAATAATACTTTGGTATACATAATCGATGCATCCCTACAACCATAATTATATGAGAAATTTTTTTTATCCGTAATTTATGAGGAATGCATTGCTGAAGTTATAAGCTGCATAAACCTAAAATTACTTTGTTTTATCCCCGATTTATGTGAAAATCTTATCCCCTCATGTTGGGGTTTTGCTCAAAACTAATACAATTACTATACTCTAAACACATGGTGATATGTGCTATTTTAAGTGCTTAGTCATAGATTTTGTAACCCTGAGATTACTTTGTGGTTGATGTTAATTGTTTGGTGATTTAGTGTATGTTAAAAACATGGTCTTGAAAGATTAATTAGTTGATTCCCTTATTATTTATGGCATTCTTTATAGTTGGAAATGAGTGTGATGGTTCACTGGTTACACATTTGTTTGGTGATAGACATGGGATGGAGACTCCTACCGATAAAGCAGAGACATGGAGTGGTATGAATGTGTCGCTTATTGTTGGTTTGAGATTTGAAGATCCACTTCTTGAGGCAGAAGTTGGTTTATTGTTAGAAAATGAACTGAATTCTAAAAATGAAGATGATGAGGAGTTAGAACAACGTCAAATGATGCTATGGAAGTTGGTGATAAATGCAAAGAGTGTTGGTAAAAGTAAAGTGCATAAATAGCTAGATAGGGTACACCGTACACCAACTTGATGAAGAGCAATCTGTAGATGAAGATGGCCATGAAGAAGAGAGAGTGTGAAGTTATAAAACTGGATCGGAAAATAAAGAAGAAGAGAGTGTGAGAACAAAAAGCAGATTCCCAAGTTTCAGGCCTAACTACAAAGTTGTCTTTACATTGAGAATGCGTTTTGAATCGAAATCTCAAGTCAAAGAGGCGATGAATATATATTTTGTCACTAACAGGCATCCTTACTATTGGGCTAAAAACTCTTCTAATATGCTTATTGCCAAGTGTTCAAATTTAAATAAAACATGTTCACGGGTGGCTTACTTTGGCATAGAGAATAGAAGCAACAGTAAAAAATGAGTTTTAAAGACTTATCACCGTGGACATACCTGCAACCCTGGGTGGCAAATACCTAGTGCCACAACTAGATGGTTGATTAACATATTTTTCAATTCAAAAGCTTGTGTTTCTGAGATGAAAGTGGCATCCATGAAAGAGATGGTAAAGAAAGAACTAAACTATGAAGTGTCTATTGAGCAAATGAAGAAAGCCAAGACAATTATCAAAAAGATGGAAATACCTAGTACCAAACAATCATAAGTAAAGCATTTCAAAATACTCAGCGGAAAACAAATACTTTTTTTAAAGTCAAAGGCCACACCGGGCAAACATGAGTACGCAGGCTCCCAAATCATTTATAGTTCAAAATAGTTTCCATGAGCATCATTTTATTTATATCAAAAAAGAACTAGAAGAAGCACGAACCACATCTTCTCTCCATGGATCACCCAAAGCAACGGGAACAGGAAACGAGCTCTAGCTTCTACCTGAAAACTGTGAGGTGGCCTCCCCCGTGAAGGGGAGGTTAGTACTTTGAAGCATTTGAAAAGTACAACGACAACTATACGACATATAATAAATGTTTGAAACACAAGACCCTCAACATAGAGTGATAATAGACTATGGTCATAACCTATAGCTACTCCATTCCAAATCACGTGTATAGTATATATATCAAGTCAAATAGCTAGCCCGTAGGCCCATTTGTATTTCAAAACAATTCTCCTTAAATAGCCCTTGGCTATACTTGCATATATCAACTTCGAGAGGGTTACATCACCCCCTAGCCTATACCCAATTCCATTAAGAGGGTTACACATTTTATCCTTGTACTCATTCATATTGGACTTACACACCCTACAGTTGTATTCATTTGTTTTGGGCTTGATAGTCCCTGTTTTCTACTACAGCAAAGATTAAGAGTATAACAAGTAGAAGATTAACGATAAAGATGAACACAAGATGATCGATGATAACCTTCCTTGATATACCGTGAACTCGTACAGAGAAGAATATTGCACTAAGGCTATTTGGAACGAGAACGAAAGTTAACGCAACCCTAAACCTGAAACGCCTTTTTATATGCGCAGGTATAGGGTTGGCGGAAAGGCTTTCAGCCTGATATGGGCCTGACACATTGGCCCCATATCCTTTACCCTAATAAATACAAATATTGAATACAATGATATAATAAAGCTAATCTATTACAAGATATGTGACAAACTTGATTCACAATTAAATGATCTTCAACAATCTCCCCCTTTGTGATCAAGTGCCACCTTGCTATTGCTTCTGTGCTTTGAAGTAGTGCTTCCTCATGTTTAGCGCGTGCTCATATTGTCTCAACATGTTTCTCTTGTCCAGGCGATCGTCAATGGCTTTTAGAATGGCTTCCAGCGTCGAATGTTCCTTTAGAATGTATGACGATGCCTCCTCAAGTTTTGATCCGGCTGTTTCTTCATCTTTAGCAATTGTTCTATGATGATCTTCAGTGTTCCATCACAGTATTTCTCAACTTCGCTAATCATCATCAGGCGCTTTTCATTCTTGTGATTTAGATATGTAACTGCTGGTGGTGTGAAGATGTGATATGCAGGGAAGTCCTCGAGCTCTGGGCCATACAGTCTTGGCTGTGTTAGATTTGTCTTTGTCATGTTGCACTCGATAGCCATCTGTAGGTCGTGGGATGAGTGGACTCTGACTTGTTTAAGCATGAACCTCTTAATTGCTGTGAGGCCTTCGCTGTATGTTCTGCTTTTTCTGACTGGGAGGTATTTGTATGCCATAAACATTTGGTAGATGTCATCTGGTCTCAACATGATGAAGTCGTTTTCCTGACATGTGAATTCACTTCCATCGGTGCGTTGAAGTTTGTATGAGTAGAATCTCACTCCATGATAATCCTCACCCTTGACCTTTAGAATTTGATGAATCGGAAGAATATTGGATTTCAGATCATGTTCCATCAGCTCTCGTTGAGGCCCAATTGACCGTTGCATCAGCATATGAAGATGACCTCCTGCCTGCTTCCCTTTGAGATGAGTGAGCCCACGCAGCTTTAGTTCATTCAGAGGTCTGACTTTCTCCGGTCTACGCCATATACGCTCTTTGATTTCCTTTTGGAAGGGGCTTTGATGCGTACATTTTCCCAAGGTTTCTCTGTCTTGGGAAGTTGTCCCGCCGTTTTTCTGACAACAGATTCGAGTTCTTTTTTAGTTTCCTTGTAGTTTTCCCCTTCCTTTCGTTCCTCATCCTCGAGCCTGATTATGTCCTCTGCACATTTGTTTATCAGTTCCCGTAAGAGCCAGCTCCTTTACATGTCTTGTTGTTCTTCATCTTGCATTATTTGATCCATCTCCGTCCACTGTCTGGGCCATTTGTCATGAATGATGATGTCCTCAAGTTGATCGTGCATTTCGTCTGATGACATAGTGGCAGGAGCTGGTTGATCTTGTAGTGACGGAGACCTGTTACCTGGGACACCGGGGTCACTAAGATTTCCCGTTGTCATCACCTTCGAACGAGGTTCTAACTGATGGCCTGACTTACAAGATGTACCTGTAGTAGCATCATCAGGACTTCCATCCCCTCCTTGGTTGGTATCTTTAGGAGATACGCCTCGGGATGTTTCATCTAGCTCGACCAGGCTAGAATGTTTGGCTTGGGTTTGGTTGGCTACGGGTGGCTGTTGGTTGGTGGAGGTTTCAGGTTGATCGGGCTGTGAGGTGTGACTGGTGAAAGCAGTTTGCTTGAGTGTTCGTGGCCGCTTTTTCTCCCCCTCATGAGGATCCGAATCGTCAGGGTCCTCATGGGAACGTTTGCGACCACGATGACTGTCATGGCATTTGCTCTTGGTCT